GTGAGTGCGTGTGATGGCGGGTGAGTGCGTGTGATGGGGGCGGCGGGCGATGCGAGGAATGGGCGGCCTCACCCGGGTCTCCGTGTCTCGCAGGCGGTGGGGAAGGTGCCGACGCTCAGCTACCACAGCGCCACCATATACCAGCGCGAGCTCTATGTCTTCGGGGGGATGGGTCCTCAGGCCGGAGCCGGGAGCGGCACCAACGCGCTTTACATCTTCAACCCCGACTACAAGATCTGGTACCAACCCATCGCCGAGGGCCAGCGCCCGGGGCCCAGATACGGGTGAGATCCTAGGCAGGCGGTATTGTACAGGAGTGACACCCCCCTCCATCGTCTCTCCAGGCTGTGGCCATGATGGGAGTTGTAGTTCTTTGCTGAGTCTCTGTTCTCGTCTCTCGCAGTCACAGTGCGACGCTCCTCAGGAACCGGCTGCTGATATTTGGGGGGCGGCGCTCCCCGACTCCGGTCTACCTGAACGATCTGCACATCCTGGATCTGGGTGAGTCCACTTCCTGCGCACCCCTAAAATGTGTTCCTGCACTCTACCCATAATGCATTGTTCTGCAGGTTACATGGAGTTCACAACCGTGTCATTCCCATCCTCGGCGGAGAGGCCTCCCCCGCGCTGGTGAGACCCCCCCTCCTCCCCCCCACACGCTGGTGAGACCCCTCCCCCACGCTGGTGAGACTTCTCCCCCGCGCTGGTGAGACCCTCCTCCGCACTGGTTTTTATTTGGGCTTGCTCTCATTGGACGGTTCTGTTCTTCTTGCAGATAACATGTCCTGGAGCTCCATCCAGTTTGGGACGAGCGCCCAACTACCGCGCGCCGGCCACTCCTTACTCAACCTCACCTCCCCCCCCCTGACCGACTCCGACAAAGAGAAGCGCGGAGGGCGGAGCCTGTGCAGAGTTCTCATCATTGGTGGAGCCGATGGCTGCGGCAACTTCTATAGCGACGCCCCCAAAGTGCAGCTGGAACTGAGCGCCTGATAATGCCGGGACTGCCCGGGGTGGGGGGGTAGTTGCGTTGTCCTGTCTCGGGGTATTTGGGGTACTTATTGTTGTACGGTGTGTTGGGCCCTCTTCATATATAGAGATTGGGGTGATGTCGGGGCCCCTCCCCTCCATAGTGACCTGTCTCGGGGTGATGTCGGGGCCCCTCCATAGTGACCTGTCTCGGGGTGATGTCGGGGCCCCTCCATAGTGACCTGTCTCGGGGTGCGGGGCCCCTCCATAGTGACACACACACGCCAGACACGGAGCTCACATGGTCACATCTTTATTGGATGCCGCCGGTGCTCTGCCCTCCTCACCCCAATACGGGGCCCACGTGGGATCTGTTGGTCATCTCGGGGCTCCTGCAGGAGGCTGAGGGGCCCTCGGCTGCACTGGGGGAGGGGACGCAGGAGGGTTCCTCTTCGGCCCATTAAGCTCTGAGCTCCGGCGGGGTGTCGGGCTGCCGGGACGGGTGGCTGACCTGGAAGGCCTCCAGCGCCATCAGTGATTGGTTGATTCTGGAGATTGTGGGGTACGGAGTCATGTCCACCCGGAACCTGCCGCAGAGGAGACGTGTAAGCGTGTGCTCATCATACCACCGAGACACGGTGCGGAGGGGGCGTGGCCGGGGGTGCGGAGGGGGCGTGACCGGTACGGCCGGGTGTATGTGACCGGTACGGCCGGG